TGTCTGTCTGTTGATTACCCACCACGCTAGCATTGGAGAGATTATTCCAAAGTATGCTCACTACCCGTGACCTACCCAGTGCAGCTTGCCACTCTTCACCTTTCTCAGCATGCCTTCAGAGCCTGTTACAATTACTACATGTGTATGCATCTTGTTCTCTAGCCACCGGAGAGCTGCAGTTACCACTTCCACCTCCATTCTCATGCTAAATATTGTGGTGTTGCATGCTAGGCTGTCTTGCACTAAAGATTTCACATTGGCTGCTGCTATGAACCCCCAGGCACTTCTCTTTCCTCTCACCACAGGACCATTTGTATAGATAATCAGATCATCTAGGCGTGAATTGTTGTGAATCACTTTTGGACTTCCACCTCTGCAGCACCAGTAGGCCACTTTCTGTACTCCCGGCTCAATGTGACCATAACCCTACACAAGTGAGACTTTTCCTCTGGTAGAAAAATTCTGAGAATACAATGGATCAGGAAAAAAAAAAAAACACGACATTCTGAACTAGTTGAACATCAAGGAGAACTGGCTCATAAACGGCATCCTGTACTGAAAGTTGGAAGTATTTTGGCCACATCAAGCCTCATGGTGGCTTGGAAAATACGGTGATGAAAGGTGCAGTTTATGGAAGGCGAGGCAGGGTCAACCACCACGAAGATGGATACAAGACATTAAAGATGCATTGGCATTGAAAGCACATGGGGCCGGAGAGTTGGCTAGGGAAAGGAATACTTTCAGGTGTGCCGTGAAGAGAGCGACGTTCTGTAAATGACTTGCTGATTGATGATGACTTTGACCCACTCCTCTCCTCGCCCAATATTCTCCAGCATGCATACTTGTTTTATTGTGTCTTCTGGGAATGATGTGAGAGTTTTCTTCTCATTTTAGTTATCACCATCACATGTGCCTTCTTTCATTTAAATCTAAGTTTTCATTAAAAATAACCACACCCAACTCTCTTATGAGATTCTCACAAATATGTTCATCAATATTGGTGGACATTTATACAGCCTATGATATGCTAGTAAGGGTGTTTATTGGTGCCATTTCAAATTTCCGGACAATAGTAAACAGCCTCAAGAAATAGAAACAGTGAGCAATCTCAACTAATTAACAATGATCAAAGAGTCTCAAACAAACAGTGAACAAAGTCTCAACACACCACACAAAAATAGTGTGCATTCTCATTTGATAAACAATGATCAAAGAGTCTCAAACAAACAAACTGTGAACAAAGTCTTAACAAGTAGACAGTGAGCAAAGATTCTCAACAAATAAACAATGGACAAATAATCTAAAGACATAAAAATTCAGCACAGATTCTCAACATATACATAGTGAGCAAAGATTCTCAACAAAAAAAACAATGGACAAAGCAATTCAACATATAAAAATTCAAGCAAAGATTCTCAACATATACATAGTGAGCAAAGATTTTCAAAAAGTAAAAAATTGACAAAGAATCTCAACCCATAAAAAGTCAACAATGATTATCAAAAAATAAACAGTGAGCAAAGTCTAAACAAATAAACAGTGAACAAAGTATAAACAGTGAACCAAGATTCTCAACATATAAAAAGTAAGCAAAGATTCACAACAAATAAACAGCAGACAAAAAGTTTCAACCAAATTAACAAAGCAAATAAGCAAGAAATACCTTCATAATTTTTATTCAGTTTTGTGCATATTTTTCTACACAATGTGGAAATACTGAAACAAACATAAAGACACTTAATGAATGGTTGGAAATGGAACATGCTTAGGTCAGAAATGATAGGATGACATCTTCTGTAAATTTATCATGTCTGCACTGAACAGTCTTACAGTTTCTTATATTTGCAGAAGCTGTTGTAAAAAAAAAAAATTGCCACTAAAATGAGGGGATGAAATGATGGTAAATGGATCCACAGAACAATTAATTAGCTGCTGACCATGACAAAATTAAAGATGTAAATGTGAATAAAGTTATAAAATTCAATATCTGTTTATCTGTAGTGAGTTTAACAGAAACTGAAGTTATGCTATTACACTGTGACACAGTTCAAGAATTGCATGTGTGAAAACTGAGCAAAAAGTCAAAACATTGACGGAACAACTGAAAAAAACATCATGTCAGTGTGTAACAGACTTTCAAAAAAACATATTAGTATCTTAAGTAAGAAACTGACCAAAAAATATAATGTGCAATGTAACAAACTAACAAAATATGTCAAAAAATAATGCAAATGGCCTGTGTGTGATGTAATTAACTAAGAGAAAAACAGGCTCATGTGCAACACAACAAATGAAAACACAGGGATGAAGCTGTAGGACTCAGGATTCATTACTCAGCTGATAATGAGAATAGGTTAATAAGGAATTTGTAGAGTTAGTCAGATGGAAAAATGGATACAGAAATCAACATACGATGTGTGAAAGCAAATTAGGTTATGGGACAATTAAAATTGCTTCTGACCCACAGAAAGATACCTCTGCCAACCAAAGCAAATCTCACAAGAACGGTTTTTTGGCCGACACTGTGCTATCGGTGCCATACATGGACCATTACTACAACAAATGAGCAGAAGATCATAACAGAGATGAGATGTCTTAGGAGAGCTGCCAGTGTGACAAGAAAAGATAAAATCAAGAATGAAGAAACTAGAAGAAGACTAGGGCTGAAACCAGTCATACAATTCATTAAAGAACAAAAAATGAGATTGTTTGGCCACCTGAAGAGAAAGCCCTGGTACCAACTGCCACAGAGAGCCACGCTAAAGAAAAATACCTAACACAGAGCAAGGGGAAGACCATGCAAGAGATGGAGCAACATCATCAGTAGCAACCCAACAGAAATAAACACCAACTTGGACAATGCATTGGAAAAAGTGCACAAACAATCCTTACATCTCCCCTCAAAACCTCGCTGAGGTAAATGGAAAGAAGAAGAAGAAGAAGAAGAGTTAGGTTAAGAAGGAATTTTTAAATACACAGTTGCAAAGAAACATCCACCTAAGGCAGAATAAATTAAACAACCACTTGATATGCATAGCGTGAGGAAACAATCAGATCTATATCTAAGCCAAACTTAAATCAGCAGAAGAGGCTAGTCAGAACCGCATAACAATTTTAGAGATGATTGAGAATGTTGGTTAAAATGTGAAAAGCACAGACCTCACATGAATCAGCATGTGAGCTAAATTAATTAACAGGTAAACCGAAACAGAAAAAACACCTACATTAGACCCCTCAGACTGCATAAACTAAATGAAATGACAGAATGGCAGATTGCACTGACAGGCAACAGCTTGTTTGTAAGTGAAGATGCATCTACAATACTATAGACAGTAAAGTCAATTAGCAAGACTAGGCTGAACTCTAAGTATTTAGGATAGGAAAATACAGAGGGGCAGAGGTTGATCAGGCAAACAGGAAAAAGAGGATCAACTTCTACAACACATTAGAAAAGGCACACAAAAGATGACTACATCTACTTTGAGGAGGTAACTGAAGGAAGACCAAAACACACACAAAATAAAACTGTGTATAGTAAACAAAACTAGTGACAAAGTGTGTCGTAAAACAAACAAACAATACCATGTCAATGTGTAATTAACAAATAAAACACAAGTCAGAGTGTACAGTAACAAATATCAAGACATCTCAGTGTGTCCATCAACAAAATTCAAGACATGTAAGTGTGTAATGTAATCAAATTCTAAACCTGTCGGTGTCTAATGTAACAAAATATTCAACATGTCAGTGTGTAATGTAACAAAATACTAAACAAGTATGAGTGTAGCATTACATCGTATAGTAACAAATATCAAGACAAACTCATGATAACAAACATCATGTAACAAAAATCAAGGCATGTCAGTGTGCGATGTAGCACAAAGAAATCCTACCAGAGTGTAAAGTAATAAAAGTCAAGACAAGAGAGTGTGTACTTGTGTATCATAACAAAATGTAAGACATGTTGGTGCATGAAATAACAGAATACTAAACATGTAAATGTGTAATGTAACAAAAAATTAAATAGGTCAAAGTGTAACAACACATTTAACCTTGTCACCCTGGGGAACTAAATCTGGCATGTTCACAGTGAACCCGTTTTTTGGGAGTTTAATGTCACTGGTTCTGTTTGCACCTGTGCAGCCTTTAGAAGGTCCAGAGATATATTTATTTAAAACATAATTTAGGATGGTTATCTTGTGAATCAAATGGCATTTTTTTTTTTAAAACCAAGTTGATGTCAAAATTTTTCCGTACACACAGTGCAAGAGGTTATAGGGTCTCAGCAGGTCACTAAATACACACACTGAGGAATCTATTCCATCTAATACTTCAATCTGTTCCTGTTTACTGATTACTGCTTTAAAAAATCTGTCTTTATATATTTTAAAAAAACTTGTTTACAATATAGATACATTTTTATTTTTTTTTATGTATTAGTGACCTGTGTAAAACTCTTGTGTTTTGAAGAATTCTGGGTAGGGGGAATCCCATGGGGCTATGACCCATTTTTCTTATTGTACGCGGAAAGAAAAAAAAGGGGGTGGGGGGGGGGGGGCTATGGCTAAAATGTGTACAAAGAACCAACAAAAAACTAAGACATGATAGTGTGTATGATAAGAAAAATTACAATAAATAAGTCAGTATCTATCAAATACATATATACAATTTTAATGTTTGTGTTTAAGTAACAAATATCAAGATATACTAGTAATCTGAAATAAATTCAAGTTCTGTCAATGTGTAACATAACAAAAATCAAAACACAGTATGTAAGGTAGCAACATTCAAAGTATGTTGTGTAAGCAACAAAATCCAAAGCATGTCCTTATGTAAGATGTAGAAAAATTTTTTTTAATTTTAAACATGGTACATCAGTAAATATTCAGACATGTCGATGTATAAAGTTACAAAATCCAAAACATCTCAGTGTGTAAGGTAACAAATATCAAGATATACTGGTGTGTACAGTAACAAACATGCTGATGTGAATACTATTATTACGACATGTAGGTGCGTATTGTTCCTCGGATCTTTGCTCGACAGATGGGACACTGATTAAGGGCAGGGGCACATGTAGAACAGCTGACTAGATGTCCACAAGGAATAAAGGCCACACAAACTTCTTCATCCATGCAGATTTTGCACAGCTTTTGTTCCTTTAGTTGTCGATTCTCTTCTGCTAATCTCATAGAATCTGAAATAAAAAAATTTAAAAGTATAAATTACTAATTTGAAAAAAAAAATATTATGTTTACACTTTCAGAATGCATATGGTGACATCCTAAACAGAAAAAACAGAAATAAGCGATTGCGGGTTAATTTGTCAGTATTAATTACATCCTTTAAAATATACTAATATATTGGCAAACCAACAATTTATGGATAATCTGGCAAACCAAGAATGTTATGTTCTATTGCCAGCTTAAAAAATGTAGGCAATATGGCGAGCCAAGAATTTACAGACAAAATGGTAATCTAATAATTTGTTATACAATATGCGAAGTCAACAATTAATGGACAATTTGGCAATGAAAATATTTTGACATATAATTTTACAAATCAACAATGTATGGACAATCTGACAGGTCAATAATTTGTGCACAATATATTTTACTCTTTTCAGTCCCAGAATTTGTTGCTTCAACTTGTTTTATCTGAAGATAGTTCAGAGTTCCCTGTGTGTGAAGACAGTTCAGATAGTTCCCTGTGTGGTAAGACAGTTCAGAGAGTTCCCTGTGTGGGATGATAGTTCAGAGAGTTCCCTGTGTGCGAAGATAGTTCAGAGAGTTCCCTGTGTGGGAAGATAGTTCAGAGAGTTCCCTGTGTGGGAAGATAGTTCAGAGAGGTCCCTGTGTGGGAAGATAGTTCAAAGAGTTCCCTGTGTGGGAAGATAGTTCAGAGAGTTCCCTGTGTGGGAAGATAGTTCAGAGAGTTCCCTGTGTGAGCTCCAGGCCCGCTTTAGGAGAAAGAAAAAAGACAGACCAACTGCTCCCCCCCCCCCCCCCAAACAAGCATGTCATAAAAGTCAACTAATTAAGGGTGTTTCCTTTGAAGTGCATCTGCTTGACAGGCAAGGAACTAACAGCCTGCATACAAATAAGCCAGATCTGTAACATGGATATGTACACAAAATCCAGGTTCTGGAACAAGACTAAAGTCTAGAAGGGGATGAACAACCAAAACTTTCTGCTGGAATTTACAGCCAGTAAACACTAAGAAGAAGCAACAGTCTGGATAGCTGATATCAACTGCGGCAGAGAGCACTAATATAATAACTGGAGAAAACACAGGAGTCAAGCAAAGCATACCCTGCAAAGAGTTATCAATGAATATAGGATGTTGTTTTTGATGAAATAAAAGACCCTTTTCCACGCCTTTAGGTATATTAGGTATACATAACTAGAGCAATATTTTACACACTAATCAGCACTCAGTGGATGATGTGCTTTTACTTCCTAGGACTTTATCTGGTAGCCATTAAAGGCTGGGTTGACCTTGAAGCCAAGGCCATTTAAAAAAAAAAGTCTGGCTCAGTTCAGATTTGAACCCACAACCTTCAGATCTGCAGGTAAGTGTCTAGCAGCTACGCCACATGGCCTCCTTGTGACTGAGTGAGCCGAGGAATTTCCTATTTTGGTCATGGAACTAATGTACAATTGATTAACTAGAATCAAATGTCACAGCACCCAGGAAAACCCTTGTGTACTCAGTTTATGAGGAAGGTGATTGTTTCTGCAATCCATTGAAATGTGAATGTACCTACACTTTCTTTGCTTCTGAATGGCAGCTTCTGCCACAGGCGATTATCAACCTGATTCCAAATACTTCCTTCAAGAGATGAACAAAGAACACATTTTCCCCCTGTCTAAACACTTTAGCTTTGGGGCCATCTTACCAAAAGGCTGACATGTTAAAAGATTATGACATCTGCTTCAGGCTTAGAAGGTGCTTAGTTCAAACTCCAGTAAAGAGTTGATCATTTTTAAACCACTGACGTTTAATTATAATGTCCCAATTTCATGTGATCTCATACATATTTTTCTCATAAAAAGAAGAAAACTAGAGGCCTGTGTGAAAACTGGATGTTAAATAGTGAATGGAATTTAGAAACCTATCCAGAGACATCTGAAACATCTACACTTACAAACTGAATAACAGGACAGAACAACAGTAACAGCTGTGGGAACACTCATACTGGACAAACGAGACATCCTAAAGACCATTTATGAATTAATGCTGTTAGAAGACAAAAGGCTAGATGAAATAATAGGTAAGAATGAGGAATTAGGTGTGGATCCGGCAAGCTGGGACAAATAAGAGGTAGAGAATGATGTGTATAATCAGTGAGAGTAGTTTGCGTCTACACTGCGGGAGATGCAGCATCTATGGGTTTACACAGTGTGCTATATGTTGATTCATAAATCAGTAAATCAGTTAACTGGAGTCTGAAAAACTGAACCCACCATCTTATAACCAGTTTTGCTGTAAAGATACTATCTCCTACACATGCACACATGGATCTATTAGCATGCTAGATGTTAGTGAATGTGTTTTGCAGTCACCGATATACTTATTGAGTCGATCCTCTTCTACCCTTTGGTGTAGAGGTTTGCCAGAGAGATCGCCAGACTTCTCTACTTAGTTGTCTTGTTATCACAGTTTGAGGCAAACAATTGATTGGCCTGATGTGCCTCTGCCTGGTAAAAGGCTGCTTCTTTGTGCAACCTCTATGCATGTTGTTTGACTGATTCATTGATACCCACTCCTTCCAGAAATTTATGAAGCATTCAGGCTCGGCTGGTCACTCCTCCCTTTTCAGCCAGGCTTTGGACCAGTCTTCGAAGAGTTTATTTATGTAAGTAAACGTAAAGTAAAGATCTCTTTTTCATGCCTTTTAGGTATACTGGGCACATAGGACTAGACCTATATTTTATAGATCAATCGGCACTTGGTGGGTGATGTGATCAGTATCACGGTGGGTTTTTAATGTAATATGGCTCAATTTTAGTGGTAGGCAGCTGAAAAAAAAACTAAACTATTCTTGTGGCTTTTGCAAAGTGGTATGAGAGTTGCATCATGGAAAAGACTGGAACCTCAGAACATATTATTCCCAAAGACAACGGCTGATGCGCCACAACCAACCTCCACCGTGGAGACAAAACAGAAAATGTGCATAGAAAGAAAACTCACCAGGGCTTTCACCGTCACCAGAAGCTGATGCAGACTGATCCCTGTTTGCCAAGTCGGACAAAGATGCTTTTGGAGCATCTTCAGAGTCTCTGAACACTGCCTCCAGGAGAGCTTCAGCACTTGTAAAGTCCTCACCTGATTAAACAAAAATGGTTCAGTGTTTAAAGTGGTACAAGCATCGGTCTGAACTGTGGGAATAAAAGAAATGCCCACTTGATAAAGAATCGTTACAACTGAGTGTGTACTATCCTTTTGTACTCTGGATGAATTCACACCTCGCAGGAAATCAAAGCAAGTCTGCAAGAGCCAGAGGTGGACAGGAAATCAGATTATAAAGCTAAGAGGAGAAAAACTGCAAGGTGGATTAGAAATCAATTTTAAAGCAAGGAGGTGAAATAAAAAGCTAACTGGATCAACAATGATTTTATGAACTGGTATCAAAATAACACGCACACCAAAAAAGACAGCTGATAAATGCGCTATTTGTACCAACTTTGTGCTATCAATTATGCTATCTAGTAGTTGAGATAAACAACAAATTTAATCAGAAATCAGATTAAATAGCAAGGTACTGAGAGAAACAGAAAATCTGAGAAAACCAATTAAAAATCTAGTGGTTGAGAGACAACGAACTGGATCAGACATCAGATTAGAAAGCTAGTGGTAAAGAAAAAATAGTGCTGCATCAAAAATCCGATTATATAAAGCTAGAAGTTGACAGATTCAACAAATTGGACTGAAAATCAGATTACAAAGCTGAAACAACACAAAGGGGTCAGAAATCAAATTAAGTAGCTAGCAGTTTGAGCAAAAAACAAGATCACCCCTGACATGTGCAGGTAGTACAGAAATAAGTACAAATTAAAAATAAAAAGGAACAGCAAACAAGGAAGCCTAAGAATTCCTGAGGAGAAAAAAAAAACATGAAACTAATAAAACATAACTATAACATACAAAGCACAACTGGCGACTGACAGTGGACAGTGAATGGAAGCAGATGCTGGGAGCTATTTTAAAAATGCATATTTTCAAATTCCAGTTTCAATGGATGAGGTGCATGTACGAATGTGAACTTTGCATTGCACAACACTGCTACACAAACCATCAACCAAAATATGAAAACATTTAGTGGTACTTGAGATGAGGTGCTATTGCAGAATACTTAACAAAATATGTGAGCTGAAATAACTAAACCATACAGCCTGAAAGATGCACAATAATTTGCAAAACATGAAAATGGGTGGGGTGAATAAAAAAAAAAAAGCAAAATAATGCAGAAAGGTACAAATAAATTAGTAAAACATGAAAATATATGGGCTGAAAAAACAACAACAACCAAACTAAAAGATACAAGGTATGGTAGTTAATGCACTAAAACTCATGATATGTTAGCTACAGAGATAAGGTTCACTGAAGAGTGATGAGAACAACATGGACAATTAGAGTCCTGAAAGAAACATAATCATAAAGCGAGCATAAGCAGACCATCTACATCTTTGGTCACATTATGAGGAGAAATCTGGGTATCTCTTGATGGCAAGAATGTTGCTGAAGGGGAAGAGAGGCAGAAGGAAATGGAGAGAGAGAGAGAGAGAGAGAGAGAGAGAGAGAGAGAGAGAGAGAGAGAGAGAGAGGGGGGGGGGGGAGAGATAGAGAGAGAGAGAGAGAGAAGATGTTAACATTTCTTTATCACTAAGGATCATATCTCTTTGAGTCCCAGGGGGTTTAGCATCACAGGCCCAGGGGGTAGTAAAGATAGTAATAAAATCGGCGCATCATGCTTTCACTGGGTTTCTAGGTAGGAACCTATGAACGTATGATGCGTTCCCTGGAACTCAAAGAGTTAAGTGTCAGAAATTATTAAAAGTGCAAACGACAGAGTACTGTGGACAAAAATAATACCAATAATACCAGTGCCACATGGCATTTGTATTGGAAAAAGAATGTCTTAAAACTCACAAAATGGTTGTAAATATGCTCAAGTATGCAGATTTGTAAGTATCAATAGTTCTACTGAAAGGATAAGACACAGATAAGAGAAATATACTATTAATGGTTCTGTGTTTCACAATCTTCTGCCAATTTATTTCTTAACTGATGCAATAACCATTACCTATAATTTGTCTACATGAAAAAGATAGGGAAGATACGTCCAGCATGACAAAATCTCTTGAACAATATCAACAGTTCTATTGAAAGGATAAATCAAATACAATATCAATAGTTTGTAACATGATCGAGACCTCATGAGGAATATCAACAGCTCTATTCAAAGGATAAATCCAATACAATATCAACAGTATGTAACAAGAATGAGACGTCATGAGCAATATTAACAGCTCTATTGAAAGGATAAATCCAATACAAAATCAACAGTATGTAACAACAATGAGACCTCATGAGCAATATTAACAGCTCTATTGAAAGGATAAATCCAATACAATTTCAACAGTATGTAACAAGAATGAGACCTCATGAGCAATATTAACAGCTCTATTGAAAGGATAAATCCAATACAATATCAACAGTATGTAACAACAATGAGACCTCATGAGCAATATTAACAGCTCTATTGAAAGGATAAATCCAATACAATATCAACAGTATGTAACAACAATAAGACCTCATGAGCAATATCAACAGTATGTAACAAGAATGAGACCTCATGAGCAATATCAACAGTATGTAACAAGAATGAGACCTCATGAGCAATATCAACAGTATGTAACAACAATGAGACCTCATGAGCAATATTAACAGTATGTAACAAGAATGAGACCTCATGAGCAATATCAACAGCATGTAACAACAATGAGACCTCATGAGCAATATCAACAGTATATAACAACAATGAGTCCTCAGGAGCAATATCAACAGTATGTAACAACAATGAGACCTCATGAGCAATATCAACAGTATGTAACAACAATGAGACCTCATGGGCAATATCAACAGTATGTAACAAGAATGAAACCTCATGAGCAATATCAACAGTATGTAACAACAATGAGACCTCATGAGCAATATTAACAGTATGTTACAAGAATGAGACCTCATGAGCAATATTAACAGTATGTAACAACAATGAGATCTCATGAGCAATATCAACAGTATGTAACAACAATGAGACCTCATGAGCGATATCAACAGTATGTAACAAGAATGAGACCTCATGAGCAATATCAACAGTATGTAACAAGAATGAAACCTCATGAGCAATATCAACAGTATGTAACAACAATGAGACCCCATGAGCAATATCAACAGTATGTAACAACAATGAGACCTCATGAGCAATATCAACAGTATGTAACAACAATGAGACCTCAGGAGCAATATCAACAGTATGTAACAACAATGAGACCTCATGAGCAATATCAACAGTATGTAACAAGAATGAAACCTCATGAGCAATATTAACAGTATGTAACAAGAATGAGACCTCATGAGCAATATTAACAGTATGTAACAACAATGAGACCTCATGAGCAATATCAACAGTATGTAACAACAATGAGACCTCATGAGCAATATCAACAGTATGTAACAAGAATGAGACCTCATGAGCAATATTAACAGCTCTATTGAAAGGATAAATCCAATACAGTATCAACAGTATGTAACAAGAATGAGACCTCATGAGCAATATTAACAGCTCTATTGAAAGGATAAATCCAATACAGTATCAACAGTATGTAACAAGAATGAGACCTCATGAGCAATATTAACAGCCTTACTGAAAGGATAAATCCAATACAATATTCATTTTTTTTTAACATTTTCCTGGTGGTCTCTTTGTTAACTGATGCTTCATTTCTCAGCTGCTGCGTTAAGTACAGGGTGCTTGTGGACTAAAAAGATGCAGTTCCATCTCCCAGCTGCTGCGTTAAGTACAGGGTGCTTGTGGACTAAAAAGATGCAGTTCCATCTCCCAGCTGCTGTGTTAAGTACAGGGTGCTTGTGGACTAAAAAGATGCAGTTCCATCTCCCAGCTGCTGCGTTAAGTACAGGGTGCTTGTGGACTAAAAAGATGCAGTTTCATCTCCCAGCTGCTGCGTTAAGTACAGGGTGCTTGTGGACTAAAAAGATGCAGTTCCATCTCCCAGCTGCTGCGTTAAGTACAGGGTGCTTGTGGAATAAAAAAATGCAGTTCCATCTCCCAGCTGCTGTGTTAAGTACAGGGTGCTTGTGGACTAAAAAGATGCAGTTCCATCTCCCAGCTGCTGCGTTAAGTAGAGGGTGCTTGTGGACTAAAAAGATGCAGTTCCATCTCCCATCTGCTGCATTAAGTACAGGGTGCTACACTGTGGGCTGGAGATTTTATTTGGAATAGTTTTTTTTACTTGTTAAACGTGCTTTGTTTAAAGAACTGCAGATTCCAAAAATGGCGAGTGGCCTGCTGCCAGAGAGCTTGTGCTTTATGCGATTAACTGTGTGTGCAGAGACTGATCTATTGTAACTGATGCTTCCACTGACTATGAACTTTCCTTTCTAGTGCTGCCTTGTGCATTTAATGCCCAGGTATGCTGCTGGATTTGCTGAGACTGCAGTCAATTTTTTTCACAAGGGACAGTGATAGACATTCTGTACGGTTTCATGAGCACAGGAAAGGAATAAAGGGTGACCTATTTGCTATGAAGTTGAAACCACGATTTCATCTAACAGATGAAAACAGACCAACAGTATTCAAAGTTCTGCTGAAAGGATAAGACAATAAGATTACAATATGCAAAGCACTGAGTTTTACAATTTTTTGCTCTTTTTCTTACTGCTTTTTCTTGGGTAAATGTGTGCACAAAAGAGATATCTAACAGATGAAGTCCAACAAGGTTTTCAGTCTTGCAGAAAGGATAAGACAACAGAAATACAATATACAGTTCTGTGTATTATTAGCCTCTTTTCTTATTTATGCCTTCACCATATTTTGGGGGTTAAATATTTACTAAAGAGTTAAATCTTACAGAATATCAGTCTTGCTGCAAGGACATAAAAGAAACACAAAAGACCTAGTTCTGTATTTTACCAGTTTTTCTTATAATTTTTCCCCTCACATTTTCAGATACATCTTTACTAAAGAGATATATGTAACAGATGAAGTCAAATTAACATTATTAAAAGTCCCGCTGAAAGGATAAAACAACAGAAATACAATACACTTTGTTCTGTGTTTTAACATTGTCTGCACCTCTCTAACTTATTGATTTTTTCTTAAGTCAGTGCGTGCTAATGAGAAATATATAACAGACAAATTCCCAAAAGTATTATCAGTCCAGCTGAAAGGATAGCAGAACATAAACACAGCAGACACAGTTCTGTTTTTTTTTACCATTTTCTGCTTTTCTCTTTCTCATACAAAATTGTTATCAAATGCAACCTTATTAACACTATCCACAATCCTGCTGAAAGGATAAGACAACATAAAACACAAAACATTCACAGCTCTGTATGTTACCATTTTCTGCCAATCTCTTTCACATTCCTTCCCCCTAAATCTTTGTTAAATTATCTATGTTTGAGAGAGAAATGAACATGCACAGCATCTCACAAAGGGTATCAAAAGTCCCAATGTACAGGAAAAGACGAAAGGAATATAATGTATATAGTTCTGTAGTTTACCATTTTCTGCCAGTCTCTTTCTTATTGCTTTTTTCACCATCTTCTTTGGCACATCCATGCTTAAGACTTTTTTGACAATCGCGCTGTCCATTCGTGCCGTTACCTCGCGAGGGTCCACCTCTCTAACTGGAAGGGAAATCAGCATTAACCAATGAAGAACTAGTAAAACGTAGCAACACTTAATAAGTAACAGCGCAGGAATATCAAAGTATGAAATCTGTCACAGAAATTAAACCACTTTTGTTAGCACACTAGTTAAGGTTATGAAAATATAATGCTAATGATGACAGAAAGAGTTTTTTTTTCTGATATATTATTAAGAATAATAAATTGCAGTGAAAAGGTCAAAAATGCAATGGTATGGACATGTAATAAGATCTAACAGACTCTTAAAAACAATACTGCAGGGCTCAGTAGAGGGAAAGAGAAGAAGAGGCAGACCAAGAATTACCTGGTTACAGAACCTGACTGACTGGTCACGCCCCAGGCATGCAACCATGAAGTCCATCGCAACTGACCGCTAAAGGTGGAGTGAGCTGATCAGACAGCCAAGAGAAACTGGTGACCCAACAACACGTAGTGTTACGAGGTGATAATGATGATAAAATAGCAGGCAGACAAAAACTGCATATATAAAAGAGTTCAAAGGGAGTAGACATTTGGGCAGATTCTGGACAAATAATATACATGCAGACCTATAGATAACTAGAGCCACTAACTGGAAAGAAAAAGTCAATCAGAGATCAACAGAAGGGTGGTATCTACAGCAGTGAACCTCAAGAGCTTAGAATCCTGAGGAATCAGAAAAAATATGAAACATTTACTGGGAATGTATAAGTTCTGTGCAAGTGTGTATGTACACCAAGGACCGTGTGTATTTACACCAAGGGCCATGTGTATTTACACCAAGGACCGTGTGTATTTACACCAAGGACCATGTGTATTTACACCAAGGACTGTGTGTATTTACACCAAGGACCGTGTGTATTTACACCAAGGACGGTGTGTATTTACATTAAGGGCCATGTGTATTTACACCAAGGACCGTGTGTATTTACACCAAGGACCGTGTGTATTTACACCAAGGACCGTGTGTATTTACACCAAGGACTGTGTGTATTTACATCAAGGACCATGTGTATTTACACCAAGGACCATTTTAGAATTTATTTTTATGCTTTATGGACAGTGAACTAACAATCTGAGAAATGTAGTGGCAGCAGAAAAGAGATTTCTTAAAAATGTTCAAACACAATGGATAGGCAAAAACAATACAGATTCTAATCATTAACTGATCAGAAAGACTAGATAGATTTTTTAGAAGGTATAATATGAGGAGAAAAAGATATAAAAAAACTAAGTGACAACTTGTAAAACCAAGAAAAAGGAGCAAAGGAAGAAAATGAGTTAAATACTTGGATGAAATGACCACATAGCATAATCAGCACAAAGACACGTAACAGATTCAAGACTGGTGATTGTGTAGATGGTCAACCACAACCCCCATACATTTATTAGTATGACACATTATGATGATAATTAATGAACTATGCATGTCCATCGGAATTCAAAACATTAACACAAACGAAAAGGAATGAAGATAATAACACACACACACACACACGATATGAACAACAGAAACACAGTCAATGTGTAAATTAACTTATAGTAGTAGCTGTCAGAATAAAGCCATATACAAAATGATAACAGTCAAACAAATATAAAGAAGAGACAGGGTCACAACGCCCTGGGGAAGCTTTAGTGATAGTATACAAATGAATTTACCAGCTTCCTGTCTTATTAATTTTTTCCACCACATTTTTTTGTTAAATATTTATTAAAGAGTTATATATGATAGATTATAAGTTCTGATGAAAAGATAAGACAACATAAACACAACTGACATAGTTCTTTATTTTATCAGCCTCTTTTCTACATGCAAAACATAAATCCTAACTTCAAAACATCACACCAAATTCACACAAAAATGGCCAGAGAATTAAACTAACTAGGTTATGGAGATAAGCAGAATTAAATAACAAAAATATAAGATGTTTAAAAATCAAAAGAAATACTTTTAACTGTTAAAGAGCATGCCTTCACTAGAACCCACCCAAAAAAAAAATGTAAGAACGTCACACACAAAAAATGCATTGTTACTGACAATGACAGAATTGATGAGCACAATGTGAATTTAAGCTACCAAAGTTATAAGAGATGCAGAAGATGTAGAAAGAGACAAAAATAATAAAATGCAGACAACCTTCATTGAGGACACAGGATATGACTGACTGAATAAGCGGTTGAATGCTGTTGGTTTCACTCAGAGAATTAAAAAAAGGAAAACTAAAACAAGCACAATATATTCACGGCACTTTTAACTAGTGTACATACTGTCAAGAGGGAAACAAACAATTAACTCTTTTTCCCCCAGCTAGTTCTTACTTGAACACTCTATCTGAATCTTTTACACTTAGAGCAACAGTGTACTAGCCTTATGGAATTGAAAAACAAACTTGTGGAACTGAAAAGTGCAGCTTTTGGACAGAAGTTATCAGTAAGAACTGAGACAGAATGGGCTAACAAAACTGAAGAATGAGGCAGAAAAGACAAAAATGTCTGCCATATAAAGAGTAATCAATGAATATACAACAAGATCCTAATGAACATGTCTGAAAATCAAAAGAAATACTTATACCATCAAAGACCATGTCCTCACTGAAATGATGATAATCCCTTAAAAACAAATCATCATTTAGGTGCCTTTTGGGATCCTTCCCAAAACCATTAGCTCCACACTGACAATGACAGAAGTGATCATGAGCAAAGTGTGAATCCATGCTACCAAAGTTACAATCACAATGGATAAAGCAGCACTTCAACGAAGCAGTAACACCAAATGTGCTGAAATGTCACAACAGGGTGTAGTGTAGACAGACAGACGGTGATGTGTTTCTTCTTTGTGGTTCACTCACACAACACTGTGACACATTTCTCTTGTTTACTGAGCATAGTTCAGGACTTTAATCTAGGTTCTGACCATTGCAGAACACAGTTCAGAAACAGACAGTCTACCAGAGTGTTATGTTTACAAATATTTTCTTCTTGATCTCATATTCTCTTCACTCTTTCTGTAAACACTGTTTAAAGTCTACCAGAGTTGTGTTTAAAAATACTTCCTTCTTGTCCTAATGTTTTCTTTGCTTCCTCTGTAAACACTGTTTAAGGTTTCAGAAACATCAGGTACCTTGACCACTGGCATGGGTGATCATGCCACTTCACAACATACATTTTCCAACAGTATGTATCAGCACATGTGCTGACACCACTTCATGCTATGAGTCTTAGAGTCTGCCTGTATGATTTATGTTTATATAATATTTTCTTCATTCTTTCTGTAAACAGGGTTTAAAGTTTAGAAATAGTGTTTATATAACCTACTTTCTGGTGTGTGTTTTTTACATCTGACCTCTACTTTTTTTTTTTCTTTCTTTCACATGCAGGCACATTTGTAAGCATCTTTAACTCTAATTAATCATCGTATTTCTTCTTCTTCTTAAAGTCCATGACTTGTGGCGTTGGTAGTCATGTCTATCCACAACCTTCTGTCGCGTATACTTTCAATCAACTCTGATTCAGATGATCTTCCATTCCATGATGTCAAGCTGTCCAGGATCCGTTCTCAGTCTCCCCCTGCCTCTCTTCCCCTCCAAGATTGTCTCTTTTGATGGCAAAAGCCTCTACAACAATCAACACACTAAATAATATAGAAGCATTACCAACGCTCCAGGGCGCCATTTGGGGTTGGGGTGGGGGAGAAAATAGAGACCTGCCCCATTAATAAGTATCTCGCAAGAAGCAACTAATTAGAGGTGTTCTTCAAAGTCAGAGTGCATCTGCCTGAGTGGTGGGGAACCAACAGTCTGCATACAAATAAGCTAGATCTGCAAAACAAAAGTGCACATAAAACTCAGGTTCTGGAACAAGACTGAAGTCCAGAAGTGGACAAACAACCAGAACTTTCTGTCAGAGTTTATGGCCGGTGAATACTAAGGAGAAAAGATTACTACAGCCATACTGCCAAGCTGTAATATACTCTAGGCCCCAAAATATGAGTCAGGTGACCAGTTCCTCACCCATCTCCTTTCCTGACAATTTCTGAAAAATGTATTGAAACTCCCATTTTTTTTTTTTTTTTTTTAAATGATTCTCCCTAAGAGCCTTACTTCTTCTTCAGCATTAAAGGTTAAAGGTAGGAGGATCAACTTCACAGCACCTGGCTTAATCTCATACTGCTCAGTCTCTTTCGGCAGAATGGCTAGACACCCGCAGAAGGCAACACAACACACAAAGCAGGTACACTGTAACTAAAACCATCTCTGCAGGCAAACTTCTACAATCTTGATTTTCTCAACAATTTGTTTCCCTTTATCTAATAGTCGGTACCTGTGGCTTGGGAGTTGCGATCACCCTTTGTGATTCTGAGGTACTGATTGGCGAGGATGGGGTGGGGAGTTTGGCTGCAAATTGCTTTGCATAATTTTGGACAGGGATATTATGAGCCGATTGTTGAGAAAGTAATGGCAAACTACTGAATATAAAATTTCCTAGTAAAACCCGAATGCTGGGGTTGGTTCTGCAACATCCTGTAAAGGAGCCACAACTAACCGTCTTAAGAATCTAATGCTTTATTCTTTCTATAAACTTCATGTAACATGTCAACAGAATACTCCCATTATCTTAATTCCCCCCCCCCCCTCCCCCACTCACCTCATGCGGACATGTCTATATGCTTAGTTATATCCCACACTAGATTCTCTTTCTGTGTTTGCCCTTTAAAAAAGACAGTTGGCACACTGCGTTTAGGTTTTCAGCTAGGCTGCAAAATCTGTACATTTCGGCCCATACACCTGACATCAACAAATTCCTAATTAGCCGCCTTTTGTTTTACAGATATGACTCATATGTATGAATACTGTTGGTTCTATTATCTCAGGCATATGCACTCCAACTTGGAAGGAAGCCTCCCCCCCCCCCTTTCCCCTGTTTAGTCAACTCTTATGGCATACTTGTCAGGTAGGCAATTGGTCTATTCTTGTTTTCCTCCAAAATTGGGCCCCGGCAGAGAATAACACGGGTACAGAACATAACCATTCTTGTGTAAAATACAGACATACCTGGAGGTCTGGCCACATGCTTTGGTTGAGTCTCGTCAAGTGATGCTGTTTGGTATTCCTATGACAAAAGAACAAGGAAATAATTAATTCTCAACAGAACATGCGCACAAGTGGCTCTAAAGAAATAGTAAGTAAGTAAACGACATGGTTCTTGTCGGTTTATTCCCCCCCTCCCAAGTCAAAGGTTACGGGACAGTCTAATATCTCAGGGGTGTTCCAAAATTGGCAGAGATCACTACAAATGTCAAGCTGTGCTGTTAGCGTGTGTGCTACGCGTGGTCAATTGTTGTGCAGTTTTGTATGTGCTTGTTTTGGTGTGCATTTGAGTTTTGTGCGTGTCGTCACCAGGGGCATCAGGGGTTATGAGCTCAGTTTCATAATTTCTACATTTCCTACAAACTGGTTTCCAGTTACAGTTACAGTCGCAGCATGTGATGTGGCAGTGCGACCTGGCAAGGGGCCCCAGGGGTTATGAGCTCAGTTTAATTTTTTTGACATTTCCAACAAACTGGTTTCCGGTTTCTTCACCGGGGGCATCAGGGGTTATGAGCTCAGTTTCATTATTTTGACATTTCTTACAAACTGGTTTCCGGTTTCAGTTCAGCTGCTGCATGCGATGTGGCAGTGCAACTGGTAAGGGGCATCAGGGGTTATGAGCTCAGTTTCATAATTTAGACATTTCCTACAAACTGGTTTCCAGTTTTTTCACCAGGATATCAGTTGTTATGAGCTCAGTTTCATAATTTCAACATTTCTTACAAACATGTTTCCGGTTTCAGTTCAGCTACTGCATGCGATGTGGCAGTGCGATCTGGCAGCAGACATCACAGCAAACGACCATCTCTGTTGTAACCAGGGGCGTCAGGGGTTACAAGCTCAATTTCATAATTTCAACATTGCCTACATACTGGTTTTCGGTTTCAGTTCAGCTACTGTATGCAATATGGCAGTGGGACCTGGCAAGGGGCGTCAGAGGTTATGATAATGATGATACAAACCACAAAACAACCCAGCGTGAACTGGATCGCAAATTATTCCTACCCATGACGCTTTACGGCAGAAGTGGTTGATGATGATGATGATGACGATAAAACACAAAACAACCCAGCGTGAATTGGATCGCAAATTATTCCTCCCCATGACGCCTAACAGCAGAAGTGGTTGATGATGATGATGACGATAAAACACAAAACAACCCAGCGTGAATTGGATCGCAAATTATTCCTCCCCATGACGCTTAACGGCAGAAGTAGAACGGAAGAAGTGGTTTATGATGATGATGATGATAAAATACAAAACAACACACTCTGCGGGAATCCCCCCATCTCATCACTAGTCACTACACAAAATGTAAGCCATGTAAGCCTCAACAAAACAACACACTCTGCTCCACATAATGTACCGGGAATCTCCATCCCATCTTATCACTACCTAAAATAATAGACTGAACCTGATCTTTGACATTGGGGGGATTTACTAGACTTGAACCAAGGACACTTTTCATGCTGATTGTGTATGGGGTATAAGATGCTAGACTCATACTTTTATAGATTAATGGACACTCGATGGGTGACGTGGTTACAATTGCACGACCACCTTTACTTTACAGAACATTAACTGGTACCCATTTTAGATTGGGCTTCTTCTTCTTCTTCTTTCATTCACTTGAAATATTATCTTTGAACTATGAACTTCATTGACTTTTGCAATTCACTCAGCGACCCATAAAGTTTCTCTTGGCCAAAAGTTTTTCCTTGATATGATTGATGTATTTGGGACAGTCTTGGAGGACATGATCTGTTGTCTCAGGTGCCAATCTACTTGTGCACATGGCTGATTTGCCGATTTTACATTTTGTGTGCATGTGGCACCAAAGTCGATTGTCTCCTATAGGGCTGACCTGGCAGCTACAGGCCCAAAAAAAATCCAACTCAGTGTGGATTTGAGCCTAATATGTTCAGGTAGGTAGGCAGGCATTAAGATGCTATGCTACCATTTTTAAACAGAAAACGGACCCTCCACTCTTCCTCAATCACTCCATCACGTTCTACATTTAGGTTTGTTTGCGGGATGTTGAAAAAAAAATATTTTCGATGTGTTTTCATTTAATCTATTTAAAAATCATATTTCTAATTTATGGGTTTTGAGGTTACTTTGCCTCTATAAAATAAGGTTGAGACTCAAAAAAGGTTTGGAATTGCTGCACTAGAAATTGGTAGTATTTCGTCAAATAATGATGTCTTTATTTACCACTTTTTAGAGCGCTGTATGTGTATGTGTGTGCGTGTGTGTGGATGTGGGCACATGTGTGAGAGGGAGGTTGGGCCTGGGGATTTAGGGCCGCATCACTAGTGCAGTCACCACAAACTGCAGATTAGAATTTTAGTTTTGCTTCTATTTTTTTTGAAATTCTGTTTAATTCTTTGTCTTACAATTATGTAATTGCTTTACCAAATGACTCAATACTGTCACTAAAACTGTATTTCATTATAAATACAGCAACAGAGATATAACTAATTTACTGTTGTTACTGGCACTTTAGCAAGGCAGGGACACCACAGGCCATGGTGACAGCGATTGTGACTAGCAAGACTGGCTTGCCCTGTCCAAGACCAATCAAAGCCAGTGATAAAGTTTCTCCTCTCCATTGCACAAAAACCTGGACAGTATTGTAAAGACTATGTGCTACCATTTCAGTATTAACCTTCTCCCTACCTAATCTGCTTATACATTTTAACCCCCCCCCCCCCCCCCCCAAGAAAAAAAATCTGTTAAGTTAAACACATTCTAGCTGACATTTTAAAAAGGTCAAAACAATGAAGACCACAATGGATGTTTCATGTTCAGCTGACTACTGTATCTATTGATCCTTTTGAACTACACTATTAAACCCGGGCACACACATACTTAAGTGTAGGTAATTGTTGGCTCACCTACGTCAGCAGATTATAGAATGATGAAATGTATATAATAGCAAGCTTGCTCACAATATCTTGTTCTTCTCTTCTTATTTTAAAATGAAACAGACTGCGTCTGCATTGTCCTCTTTTGTATGAATTTTACTGTCTTATATATTTCACCAAAAGAGTGGTTGGCCGAGTGGTTACAAGTGGCTCTCATGTGGGAGACATTAGTTTGACCCCCCGTAAGGTGATGGAGTTTTTCTGTCGGGGGCAAAAATTAAATATCCTAACCTGCACAGTCTGTGGCAACAGCACTAGCCAGGCGGCCCTAAATCACCCCGTCTACACCGTCCTAAGAAGTGGTAAAACAGACTGTAGTGACAGTTTAAATCTGTGTTTCTATAAACCAGATGAGTGGCTGGCAGTGGTTAGAGTGTTGGGCTCTCATGCATGAGGCACAGGTTCAATACTCAGTAAGGGACGATTACCAGTCTAAGAGAAAAATTAAAATGCTAACCCAGGGACTACACAGGCCACGCAGTCTTAAAGCTCCCGGCTCAACCTTCCTTCCCCACTCCCTATAAGTAAAAAAGTAAAGTTTCCCTTTTTCCCTCGGCGCATCGGGCATATTGGGCAGAGCGTCCCATTATTTTTACAGCTCAGCACTCTGTGGGTAATGTCATCATTACGCCGCTGTCAAAGACATTCCCCCCACCAGGACAGCCCATCCTGGTACCCATACCTCCCTAAAAAGTGGTAAGCTCACACAGTAAAGACATTCCCCCCACAACGGGTAAAGATATAAAGGTAGACCGCATCCTCCCCCCCCCCAAAAAAAAACCACACACACACAGAAGCGAACTAGAGAGTTGAGTTTAAAAAAAAAAGGGTAGGGTAAACAGTGAGCTGGATGCGACAGCAAATGATAGGGTGACCTGGCATAAGTTGATTGAGGGCCTATGCTCCATTGGGGGATAAAGGGCAAAAGGAGAAGAGGAAGAAAGAAGTCCAAGTGGTAAATACATGCAGTAGTGACAGTCAAATAATATCCCATAATATGCTGTGTTCCAGGCAGTTTTGGGCTATGTATTCTGCAGTCTGAGACACAATCTACATGGTTTATTATTCAAATTTAAATGCTGCACAATATCTATAATAATTATCTGCTTCTTCGTGTTCACGGGCTGTAAACTGGCAGAAAGTTCTGATTATTCATCCCCCTCTGGACTTTCATTCAGAACCTGAAGGTTGCAGTGCACATCTGTTTTACATTTCTGAATTTTTTTAAATGCAGACTGTTGGTTGTTGCCTCTCAGGCACTCCAACTTCAAAGGAATCCCCCAGTTAGTTGACTCTTACATCATGCTTGTTTGGGGAGGCAGTGGGTCTATTCTTGTTTTCCTCACAATTGGGGCCCCAGGAACCCACATGTGGGAATCTATAATAATGATGTCATCACTGTACTACTACTACTCATCATCATGTAGCAGGTACTTTGCAGAATGTTGCTCTCATCACGGTCTGCCTAAAAGAAACTCGGTCTCTCGCCAGCTTTCCTTTCTCATGTACTTTCATATTCGAGGAGTCATATCCTGTGCACATCTTTGTGTTGGTTGGCTCCTGCCCCTCCTTCCTTGTATCGCACCTTTTGCTATTATTTTTTTCAAATTCACTATGGTGCTTGATATGACCAAAATATTTCAGTTCCCAAGACAAGATGCTGTTTATTAGCCAATCTTCCTACTACTACTACTGTAAGTATATTAGGAATGTGACTGCAGAGGACATGCAACATAGAGATTACATTTTCTGGAACAACAACTTATTAAATGGAGCCAATGATGAGAACAGTGACTAGAAACATTCACAACATTCAACAGAAATGCATTATTATAATTATGGTTACACTTCTACTTACTGCTAAATTTGTGTCATTTAAAACTCCATCAATAAAGGCCTGTCCTTTTGACTGTTTAACATAGGCACATTTAGGAAACCAGCGGGCATGTTCTCTCCATGGATCGTCATCTGGTTCCCAGTTACGCAGACCGCCATCGCAAAAGAAACATTTCACACTGTCTCCGTGTCCTGTTGAGAATTAAATCAAAACATTACAATTACTCCAAACTTAATTATGACCACCAAGAAACAGATTAATTACTGCAAAATCAAATCAATAGTGCAAAAAATTGCTACCAGCGCCAAACTTTGACATTATCAAAGGCTAACCTGCTTAAGACAAAACCCTGAAGATGAGACATTTGAGCAGAGAAGCCAAACTGATGATCCACAATCAAGTAAGATATTATCCTATCAGGTAGACTGACAGAACAATGCCTTGCACTAAATTAACTGAGAAGCAAAAGATAAAATGGTTTGGTCATCTAATATTACAATGCAGCCATAGCAGTAACCAACATAGGCACTACCCCTATAAAGATCTGATGTGACTAAGAGGTTACACAAGTATTAGGACTGGTGACATTGAAGATATTATACATTCACCAGAGTTGCAATGGACAAATCCCCCTATTAAGGGTTGGACAGCAAAACTGTTCCTCCCCATGACACTTAATGGCAAAAGTGGAAGGTTGTGATAATAATTACAATATAGAGAAGACCTTACAAGGGACCTAAGAAGGAAAAATTGCTTGAGATAAACAAACTTCCTCACAACAGAAATTCGTCACATCTGAGATCACCTCAAGTGGTCTGCACTGTTACTTAGATAATAAATCTCAAAATCCGTGCATTTTAAGGTATTTTAAACATTTAAATAAAATGAGGCACCTGCTCAAAGAAGCAAACATGAAATATGTCATCAACATCATATACCCTGCCAATATGCACAGGCATTCATGGTTTGCCTTCCCACACAATCAACAGAATCTATCCTACGCAATCACCAGAATCTATCCTATACAATCACCAGAATCTATCCTATACAATCACCAGAATCCATCCCATACAATCACTGATCAAGTCAGTGCTTTTGTTTTGCAAACCATCAATCAATCAATCAATCTGATTCCACAGCTAGTTCCAAAACAAACTCCAAGAACTTACTACACAATTAGAGTCAGTGGTAAATATGGCATGGAAATTAATGCAGAGAAAAGCAAGATTCTTGTTAATAGTCCAAATAATCAAGCACCTACCAACATACAGATAAAAAGGAAACAAAAAACTAGAAAAAGCTGAAATCATCAAATATTTTGGCTTCCACATATGTAACGATGGCAGCTGTACCAAAGAGATCAAGTTAAACTTGACAAAAGGCAACAGCTGCATTTCCCAGCTGAATACAATGT